ACACACACACACACACACACACACACACACACACACACACACACACACACACACACACACAGATAAATCCAGAGGAGGAGAGTAACATTTCTGACAAGATCTCAGTCTCCACTGTGTCTGTTAAGACGTCACTGCTTAGGTCTTCTGTCACCGGTCACAGAGCATGGTTTTATTGGAAACAGTTCATGATATATCAACCTAACCGTCTGAAGTATCGTGCTGTATATGTGACTCCATGTCTGTCATGGCTCAGCTATACAGTTCACACATCTGAGAAGATGGCAAATAACATCCATCAAGTAAGGGTAAACATGATCATTTTTATCCTGTAGAGAAAAGACAGTGTCTGTCACATATATTTTTTTTAAGTTAACATTTTTTTTCTTCTATTGCAACAAAAATGGTTTATGTTTTGAGTTAAGGCCTGTGCTTATAAAGCACCTTTTGACGACTGGTGACTCCAGAGTGCTTTTTACATATGATGGTGGTACGATACATTCACGCCAAAGCTGTCCTGGGGGACACTTACAGAAACAAGGCTGGTCAGAGTGTCCCAGGGCAGCTGTGGTCATAGTGTTTCATAATCAGGCCTGATAACTACAGTATGCACTACTTTATGCACATAAAATCTGAAAACACAGAGTCAGGGTGCATGAATGCTTTTGCAATGATTGCCATGCTTGGAAACTATTAAAAAGCAGCAGAACATAGCTTAATTTACCCGCTTTACTGGAAAAAAGTACTTTTTTCCTTTAATAGTGAGTTTAGAATTTAGATTAGTTCTAACGCTTTTCCCTGTCACTTGTCTTTTGTCCTATATTTGTAGAAATACTGTGAATGTTGGCTCTGCTCCCTATGCCTCCATTAGCTCTGTCGTTGCCTTTAATGTTGTTACATGAAGCTTAGAAACTTGAGACATATTGATAATAGTAATCAATGAATATGTGTTTATGAGGTTCAAAAGTAAGCTCCAAATCACCTGCTTGGCACAGAGGTAGGAAAGAGGTTTCGAAGATGCACAGAAGCAAGAGTCATGTCTGTTTTCTGCACAACAGCATCCTTTACTGTCAAACTCCCAAGATTTGCGGGAGCAAAGGAAGCATGTGAATACACCGACTCGGAAAAAGATGTTCTTCTCACATGCTGGTGCTTGGCTCTGCAGCTCTAAAGTGGGCCAGATCTCCGTGCAGAGCTCTGGGACGGGAGCCATGTTGTTGCTTCAGCTTTTGTAGCTGCTCTGGTCCCTTCGCTTAGCAAAGGTGAGCCAGGAGTCACCCTCACATCTGACATGAATATGAACAGTTGTTGGAGAAGCAATATCATCAAGTTAACGACAAGCCACAGTGTCATCAGTTGAGACGTTTCTGAGAAGATTTGCCAAATGTTAAAGGTTCCAGTTATTATTTTTCTTTTTGTGTTTTCATAAAATCATGACCAAAAAAAAGCTTTCAAAATAAGTATGTGAATGCTTCAGAGAAGCATTTCATCTTTGGAAGGTATCAGTATCAACATAAAAGTTTCTGCAGAATCACTCAGTGTGTAAAAGTATGGAAGCACTGCAGTGTGTTATGGTGATTTTCCCTCTCTGGTTGAATGAAATTGTTGCAAAAGCAGTCACTGCATGTTAAATATTTAAACTACTCTCTTACAGTTTTATCCAAAGATCCGTGTTAAGGGCTTCTGGTGTGGCCATATTGGGAATGTCAAGGGAAAGGAAAAAAATACTGACACACAAATCTGTTTTCACTTTTTAGTTTTAGACTTTAATCTTTTTCATGTTTTTTTGAGTGAGATCACTGGATTGTTTGCACATTTATTGAAAATGAAACCATGTGAGAAGTTTGGAAAGAAAAGCCAGTCTTTGGTGGAGTTGCTGACAACTTATAGACACCCGAAACATGACCCCAACAACACACTGCATTTTGCTGTCAGAAAAAGTGTAAAAAAAAAATAAAAAAAAAGAAGAAGAAAGAAGGAAAGAAATACAGAAAGAATTTTGTCTAATTTTTAAAGTTTTTTAAGGACACAGTATTATAAAGGCTGGTTATTTATACACAAGTAAAGGGTTTTATAAATTCTGAATAAAGTAGAAAAGGTTAAGTTAGACAAATTTGAGTTAGAAAATAAATAAATAATTTGTTTCTGTAGAGCGTTGGATTGCTCCATGTCCAGATGTTTGTGTAATAAAACCGCCAATTCAAATTAGACAAAGTACAAATATTTAATCAATAGTACAATGAAAGAGATAAATAAATTATGAAACCCCCCCCCCCCACTGTCCGATGTTTGTGGGGCTGAATGATTATCCAGCTCACATGCAAAAATACAAAAATAAAAATATATATATATATTTTTTTTAATTTATTTATTTTTTTTTTACAAACTGTAAGATGTAATATATCCGAAAATATATCTAAACGAGTAAAGTTTTTACTTTATATGGACTAGTGCATCTATATTATATTGAAAGGATATGTGATAAACTTTTGTTAAAGTACTTTCACTTCACATTAAAATATTAGCTATAAAAGCTTTCAAATAATAATAATAATATAATATAAAAATTCTTATGCAAATACTTCTTCGCAGTGTCATGCCGATAGTTATACCAACAAAAATATATAATATCTTCAACTTTTCGTGTCATTAAAGGTATCGCGAGAAGTGGTCAGTTCAGGTGTGAACAGGTGCGCGTCAGGTCCATGCAGATGGCCGTGGCGACGGCATGAATATCTGTGGTTGACTGTTATTATGAAGGTGTTCTTCTTGCTGTTGGTTTGTTGGATTTAGCGTTTCCGGCACTTTGACGGTATTTTGGTTTATTTTATTGGCGTCATGCTGAAGAGCTACGTGAAGCGCGTGAAGTCAGGTAAGCGCGCGCGCGTAAAAGGAGTAGGAGGATCAAGCGTTTACTTCTCTCACCGATACATGTTTGTAACCTGTCCTACTTAACATTTCGTAACTATATTATATTAACAATACTTAACTAATATTATTATTGTTATTTACTCTGTCGGTTTAGGTCCTGCAGCTCTGCTTCATTTTGGTCTTAATGTCTGTTAAAATATACCATATTCTCAGTTCAACCCAAAATAAAATATTTATTTTAATTTATTTCAGTATTTTACTTTTTAGACCTATATGTAATATTATTAAAACGCCCATTGCCTTATGGTATATAAAGTTGGAATTTACCACTTTAGGCTATTTAAAAGTTTCTGTCTAGTTTTTAATTAAAAAAATATTGATTAAAAAAATGAAACTGGAAAGAGTGTGTTCAAAAACAAGCATATCACAACACTTTATTCCCTTTCCCATTCCCTAAATGTGGTTTTCATCATTTATCAAATATCCATCCAAATATCTATTTACTCCCACACCTATTTAATGTCCATCAAAATTAAAGCCATCAATTAATCCATTCATCAATCTAAACTCAACCAGTTCAAGGTTGGAAAAGTGTGAAACTTTGACATGGAAAAAGATGTTGGCATCCTGAGCACCTTTATTTTTATACCTAACCATTGGTATGTGTTTCTTACAGCGCTGAAACGGTCGTTTGAGGTGGAGGACACGGATACAACCACACACCCTTCACCGCTGTCCCGCCGCACTACCAACCCCCTCCGTTCCTCCATGTCCTCCTCATCCAGCCAACGGAGCTACGACCTAGGTTCACGCAACTCGGACTACTCCTCCTCCTCCTCCAGGTCCACTGCATCCGAGTCCTCCAATTTACGTTCCCCAAAGACCGGCATGAGGCGCATCGAGTTGTCAGGAGGGAGGAACCCTGATTCAGCTGCTTCCCGCCGGGCAGAGATGTCCATCGAGGTCTCCTCCAAACAGATCGACAGCTCGCCCAGCGCCGGCATCACCCGCTTCGGCCTCAAGCGGCCAGAGGTGAGTCTGAGCAGTCGCAGCAATGCCCTAGATGGCACCTCAAACTCCATCTCCAGCATCACAAACCGGCGAGCAGAGCTCAACATGACCAGGTCTCAAGAGCCCCCTGCCCCTCCCAGGAGGATGGACACGCAGCTGTCCTCTACGCCGGTCTCTAGGATCCCTGAGCCCCCCCAGAGAAGAGCAGAGCCTCCATCTCCCAACCTGAGTTTAATTGAAGGCGTCTCCAGGAGACCAGAGATACCCGTCTTCAGACAAGCAGACGGCTCAGTGTCCAGCAGCACTATAGAGAACAACAACCACCCACCGCCTGCATCTACAGCCCCCCTGACAGAGCCACGGGTGGAAAAGGTGCAGTCACCTGTCACAGAGCAGCCAACAACTCGACCAACAGACAGTGAGTAAACCTTCAGCTAAATCTGTTTTTTTAACTAAAACAAATTCTTTATTGTCGTTTCGGCTTTTCAACAAGCTGCAAATGACTTGCAACTCTGATAAATCATCCAAATTTCCTCGTTTCTGTGATTACTTAGAGGAAGTTGAACTACAATAGTATGTTATGTTGCAACCTTGTGCATAATATAGGTTGCTCTCTGTAAAGATGTCAGGATTTTAAAATCTTAGCATATTGTAGAGGGAGGCCATCTGTGAAATAGCGATGCAGTCGAAAAAATGAGATTAACTTAGAATCTCTGTTTGTCTAATTATACTGTCTGTAAATGTAGGTCAGTGTAGTAGTTGATGAGAAAAGCAGGACTTTAAAGAAAATGCTGCTGGAGCAGATAATTAAATGTAGAAAACAAATGTTGAGTTTATAAAGTCACAACTGGTTTCCTTTGCTCACAGTCTATCTGTAGGTTTCAGAAGGTTTGATGTTTTATTTTAGCTAAGGTGTGTTTTAAAATTGAAGGCTAATTATTTAGGGTGTTTTTCTTTCTCTCTTCTCACACACCAGTAGTATTAGTAATAGAATGTGTTTCAGATATTTTTTTTTCCTTTAAACATTAGAACCTTTAATCAAGACATCAGGCCCTTTTCTGTTAGGATTTATTTGAAAAATATGGATTTGCTTTCCATTTTTTCCTAACTTTAATACTCCGTTTTGATTGCTCTTCTTAATTATTGTACTGCGTTTCTTAGTAGTGGAATGATAACTAGTACTCTTCACTGGCTTTGAACCATTCTATTAGGCTACTACAAAAAACAACAATATATTTATTATATTACTATATTATATTACTGCACATGTGATGCAAACCTACACACAGTGGGCACTATTTAGTCATCGTTGATATCTAAAAAGGCAGATTGATGCCCTGAGTTTTGTTTTGGGGGTTATACGATTACAGGAGACTGAATGCAGATGTTTTTCACACTTTTAAGATTTTATTTGTGAGAATTACTGTTATTTCACTTCACAATCCTAGTCCGTCTTGGGTCCCAAAAAAGTTCAGCAAAGCTGTTGATGATTTCATGAAATCTGGAAACAATGAACTTTTTTATTTTTTATGGCGCCGTATTGAGAAAGTTTCTCGATGTCTTTATTAAAGATATTTCATCCCAGACTTCTTTTACTGAAGACCTTAAGGGCTTTCTGCTGTTATTTATTTTTTGTTTGTGTGAAAGCTTTAATTGAACCATATACAAGATAAAAACATGTTTACCTGTGCTTTTTTTGTGCTGCTTTTCATTACCTTGAGGGTTTTTGTTTTAGTCAAAAGACCAAACGTGTGTGTTTGTGCTCCTCTGCTCTCTGGAGACGGCTGTGCTTATATTTTTCCTTCTCTGGTTAAGTAGTATCCACTTATGGGCGACAGGGAGGTTTAGTTTTCCAAGTCTGGAGGTCATAAAAGGGTTTGCTCAAAAATAGAGTCCAATTTGCTCTTTCTAAAGCTCTGTAAAGGCTGTTCCTTCATCTTTCTCCTGATTTTGCTTCAGCAGACGCTTGTTTTGTTCGGTTTTTTCTACTTTTTCTATGGATTTTACAGTTTTCAGAGGAGTACACAAGCTTTATGAGTGTCTTTAGCATGGCCTTGTAGGCAGAACGGAAGTCGGAAAGGAAAAGGGAGAGTATGGACTCTTAACACTGCCACATTTGGCACAGATTACCACCTTCCTGCTCAGCTGAGCATGTGGAGAGAGGCCCTGTGAGGAAGAGGCCAGGGAACCAGGAAGAGACAATAACAACGCATCGGCAGAAGGAGAGGGAGGAAAAAAATAATTTGGACAGCTGTAAGGCGTGGGGGGGGGGACTGGAAAGCAGAATTTCTTGTCACCTGTTTCTTTTCAGAAAATGCAAACATTTATGTACCTTTGACTCATTTGGGAGTAAAAGACACAAAAAAAAGCTTAGTGCTTTATGTAACATCAGGGCTAATAATGTCCAGCTTTTTGTTTGTTGTTTTATTATTTGGGACATCTAGGATTTAAAATGGGAAATATTATTTCTTCTTCAACACGACATCGGGTTGGAAGCTGGTGGCTAGTGTCTGTGTGGTCTGGGAAATGTTTGCATAAGAGTGTGTGTGCGATCTACGGCCAGGTAATAACAGTCTTCACTCATGTGCGTACACGTGTACCCTGAGTATAGATTCCAAGAATGCCTTGCTCAAGGGAGTAGTGGCTAATGAACATGCTGATAAGTGATTTGACTTTTTTTTTTTTTTTTTTTATGGTGAATTTGGAGCAGGCACAAGGTGCAGTAATGACACGCTTTGCTACAGTTGATTGGTTGACTTTAACCATAAACAGCTGGATCAGCTTCGGAGCGCCTCCTCAGGATGTGAGCTCATGTTCACACACAGAAAAACACACTGACATTCATTCACTGTGGATATAGCTCATCTTAGTTTCCCATCCTCCCCCTGACTGATTTGTTTAATTATGGCTGCTCTTATATGACCGTCTTGGTGTACTGTCTGCTTAGAGGGCTTATTATTGGATGCCTAAATTTGCCTCCAGTAATTAGGCGTTGGTGTTGATGTAGCTTTGACTTTACTACAGCACCTTTCTGATTTACTTACAGTTTTTTGTTGGGAAAATTGAAAACAGAAATTAAGAGTCAACAAATGCTCACTGTGTTTAAGCAACATAACACACATACACATCAAGTATTATATTCACAAAAGAGTTTTTGGGGGATATATTACATTGACACGTATTCTTAGGCATGTCAATCCACCCTATCCAACCATTATTCTTGTCTAAATGAAAGACTCCTGCCGTGAAGTGATAGTAAGACTTGTTGCAAATATTCATGCACAAAACTCTGTTGTTGCAAATATTCATGCACAAAATAACAGTTTTGGTCAGAACTCAAAATGGCAAAACCAGGCGAAGCAGTGAAACCAGAGCAGAGTACTTAAGAAACTATCTTAGAAGTCTGGTTATCAGTATCCTTTTACAAACTAGCTTAGCCCTGCTCCTGTGTTTGAACGGCCTTAAGGAGGCTTTGCTCCTAACTTAATGCAAATGGGGGGGAAAAAGCTGTTGTGTTTGTCTTTAACAAGAAACACCTTATGTACGCCTAGTACTGGTTTACTAGGCTTTAGTCTATTTTTTCACAGTTTTATGCATCAAAGCATATAAAACACAGGATTTGAAATAGAACTTGCAAATAGAATCTGCATTACAGGTTTTAAATGTAAATATTCAGCTTATCTTGCATCTCTGACTGTCATTGGTATTTGTGGCAGTCATATTAGGTACTAAGTGTAGGTCATTTTTTAGTATTTCCAACTAGGAACTCTGAAATTTCTTATTCTAGACATGGAAGTCTTCATCTTAACCATATTTTTCTTATCTGCCTGATGGTCAGTTATGCTAATTAGCTCAATAAGCTTTAGTAAGAAATTACCAAAAAAAACAAAAAAAACCCCACATAAATGTTTATGTGGTATCGGTGTTTGGATTGGTGTTCCTTCCTAAAAGAAATCTTTTTACCTCTCCAGCCTGACTCCTGCAACAGTTTAATAAGACTCTGTATCTTATGATCTGTCTTATGCCGGTCTGCTGAGTGCTGCTCTTGTTCTCCCTTAGAACAACCGTGTTTGTTTTTAACATAAATATAATGACCTTATTGTTGGATCCAGAGTCCTGGCTACAACAAACAAGAACTCCAATGCATGAAACTAGTACGATTTTTAATCTACTGCCTCATATTTCTAGGTTGCTGCATATATTTGGAACATGCTTTTTGAGGAACCAAATTAAAAGAAATAAAGGGCATTTAGAGAAGCATTTCTAGGACTGAAGTCTATCATTTGGCCTATGACCCCATTTTTCTGTATGTCATTTAAAATGCATGTAAGGTTAAAATATTCCAGTGTGAAATATGGAAGGAAAAAGTTAGCTTATTTTTTGCTGTTCTTTTTATTATCCTTTTGTATTTTCTCTTTACTTTTGTATTTTCTCTTTATTTTTACTCGGTCTCTACATATAGCCCAAGAGTGCCCCCAAGTGGTCTAATAATTATTTGAATTCTTAAGGCATTGCCAATGGCTTCATTATATTGTCATGGTCAGATGATGCTCTACAGTTGCATCATATCATAGTAATTATTCCACAGATTTATGACAAAATGTAGAACACAACCTTACAGCCTATATTCAAATGAATTATGCTAATTATTATTGGTACAATAGTGTTATCTGTAACATTTATTTGGGCTTTTTGTAACTGGAAATATTCCTAGCTATATCATACTGGTAAGCAAGGGAGAAGCCTAGTATCAACACTGAGCTTTTGTATTTTTGTCTCCATACAGCTTTAGAAAATGTTTCTTCCCTGCAGTAAGTTGTTTAGAAACCTTTTAAAATTACTCTATCGCAAATAATTTTAGTGTTGTTTTTTTTAAAGCAAATGGCTTTTAAAACTTTTTCGGAAATAGTTACTCTCCTCCCTTCAGCCACGTGAAAACAGAAAACCTACTTAATATTAGCATTAAGATTTTTTGTAGCACCCTAGTACAATTTGTTTTGGTAAATAGTTACAGGTCATTGAATAATTAATAATTAATTAAACAAAAATAGTGTTGGTACTGTTTCTATGCTCTATATAGGATATGTTTTTTTTTTTCTTATGTAAAGGAAATAACCTTAACTTGGACAGTAAAGCAGAACTGAGTATATTTTCATAAACGGCTTTAAAATGTTGCATCGACACAAGTGTTCACTACACCAATGATGACGCTGCTGTTCCAATGCCGGGCCCTTTGTAAACACTAAGCCTTCTACTTGGGGACCCAGTTTTAAAAAAAAGATCATTTATACTCCACAAAAAAAAAAAACCTGGCTTAATTTGGATAAACAACTTGAACGACAAATATCTTTTCAATTACACGTGATCTCATCTTCATCTGGATAAAGCCTAAGTTTCTCACCATAACACCCCACTATTAAATGTACCTAGTGTCATTAAGCTTAATACTCGGTTAAAACAATTTTTGCTTAACTATTTTAATTCAAGCACTACAAAATGATATTAATCATTCTGAATGTCAAATAAATGTCTAAGCTGTCATAGAGTAGACGGCATATATGTAGACAGCAAATCTGAAAATTAATTCCTTTATTTAAACAAAAATGACACACCAATGACTGTACTGACCCAACAGACATTGCACAAGAAAAGCCTTTATCCATTTTTTTAATTTTCTAATTCAATTTTTTATAAAATAAAAAACATTTTCTTAT